GCTTTGTTAAATTGATAGATTAGCGTAACAGAGATCAGAAATGAAGAGGATAGACAGCAGATCAGTTTGAGAGAAGAGTGAGACAGTTTTCTCTGTAGACAGATGGGCCATAAGGGAGAGTAGGACATGGAGGACTTCGATGTCTTGGCAGCGAGACAACACTTTCCCATGCGGTCCACATTCCAGCTGACAATCTGTGTGGACTGAATGCTGCTGTACACCAATCACCGCTTAGCTAAAAAACACTTAGATATTATGACATCAATGAAGTCTTGTCAGGTGACTTATACTAATCAGTCTGTGGTGTTATGCCAAATAATTGCGGTAACACACATTGTTGTCAAGACAAGATTTTATGCCGATCATATAATAATGATAGAATAGCATGAAATGCAAGTACACTCTTTTAAAGAAAAATTATCTTAGCTTTTTTGTAATGTTCAGACATTGGAATTGTTTTGTGAAAAAAAGTAATAATGTAAGGTGAAAACAAATTAAATATGTATATAAGACAAAACACATCCAATGCAGTTAATAAAATGGTCTCTCTGGTTATCTTAACAATGTACTTATGTAAATATTATTCACAAAGATGGGAAATGACGAATAGCTACACTTCCACACGAATACATGTTGTCATTGTTTCGGTGTAGCAACCTGATATTTCCTCTTCAGGGAGTGTTCGTTGTGGATGTTTTTTATACAATCACTCAGGAGCCCTTTGTAATGGATGTTATCTCCATTCAAGAACTGTTTTGACTATCACATAATGGTATAAGTGTCTTAGGCTACGTGCTCATAAACGTAACTCAAACATGTCCATCAATAAGTAAGAGCACTTTCGCGAAACTGCATTAAGAAGTAGTGCCAGTCTATTTGAGAGGCATAGACATTTAAAGGTGCAATCATTAATCAGTACAGGTTTCGTTAAACGTTTGACTTGTAGACGGTTAAAAATAGACGGTTAAAGTTCATGGAACGGCAACCTAAAGTACCATAACTTGTAATACAGGTCTGTCTTTGTTTGTAGACTTTACATGTCCAAAAAAAACTTTTATACCCTCAAGGTTTGTTTAAAATCTACAGTTCAGTGTCCACCCTGATAGCAAAAGCTGAGGTAACACATTTCAGAGGGGATAAAGGTCTTCAATGCATGATGTCACCATGTAAACAAAGCCTGTAATGGTGTGGTAGTATTTCAGCAGAGGGTGCCATAAAGTTTGAAGGTTTGACCTTTGATATGTAACGGTGTGAAAGTGTTTCTTCTTTGACCCTGTTTATAATAAACCTTTCGGTCAACTTGAAAAACCTAAGAGAAAAGTTTTGACTCTTGTATTCATTTTCAAATGGCAGAAAGATGGTTAAGTAGAGAAAAGGAACACTGAATGCAACTGAAAGAAGATGAGAAAGTCAGAATCATTTTAGTTTTGTAACACTCTACCATCATCCTAAGGTGTTTTATCCTGTCAATGTTTGTGTCACAACATTGGAGCGTGTTAATAAAGCATTAGGATGATTCACCACCTGGCCTGTGCGGTGTTGTTATAAAGACACACCCACTCCCTGGAGAAGCCCAGACCTGTTCAGAGAGACACACAACACTACAGTAGATTCAGTAGGTGTGGTAGCGCCTTGGCATGATAGATTAGATAAATAGACAGGCAGGAAGTAAGGGGGATAATGACAGGAAGGCAGGAATACTCTGCTGTAGATGGATGACTGGTGTATACCCACACAACTAAATGAAAGATGAATGAATGGGTGGTGGCATTGAAAGATCCTCTATTGATTTTGAAAGTAAAGTAAAGAAGTACTCTAGACAGAGTAAAGATCAAACCTGATTTATAACTCCAAGAATAACTTATTTTAAGGACAGAGATGAGCTTATTTTGTTGTTAGTTCACCAAGAAGGTAATGTTTTTGGCTTGATCTGTTTGTCTGTTCTCGACATCTGAATTTTTGTTGAAGTTTCATTGAATTTGTGCTGCATTCATGTGGTGTCGCAATAATCGGAAAAAAAAAGTTTCATACTGGGAAAATTCATGTCATCAGTTTATCAAGTCTGAACAGCAACTCAGAAACAGATATCAACACGTTTGAACACTCGGAGAAATAAAATACAACACGTATTCCTTTTAGTGTTCTTGTTATTTCCACATTACAAATGAATGTTCATTATTAAAGGTCATGAGCACACGTAAGAAAGCAGAACAACTTCCCAACTCTGGAAATGGGACCAAAGAGACACGTGAATGCACCTTTGGCCTTGGCAGAGGTATCTGCTCTCAGAGTGTCATTTTAGTTTATTTGTCAAATGAAGTTTAGTACAGCAGTTATCCTTTTCCACAAAGTTTGCATTCAATCATGTGTATACTCAACGTTTTTCAAACAGCAGTGATGCCACAGCCTGCCTTTTCCTATAGCGGACATCAGTATAGGTCATCAGCCCCACTGTGAGCTCTTTACTTCTGAGTCATGAAGAAAAAAAGACTAGGGAAACAGTGAGGAGAAAAGGTTATTACCACAGCATGTGTAACAACTTATCCCTATGGAAAGAAGAGGTGGAATTTCTCCAACTTCTTGTGTAACCATTAATCTCCTTACAGCATGCCAGGCCAGAACAAAGACACTGTGTTAGAGAGCGTTTCCTTTTTAAGTACATTTGATGTCAAGTGTTAGTGATAATTGCAGAACAAATTAGTACAGTAAAGCAAATGGAAACACACAGCAGCAAGACTAAGCTTCTTGATGTACAAAGGTTTACAAAAGCAAACGTCAATTAATTGTTAATTGACATGTATAACAAGTATTTTTTAGTATGGTTCAATTTTACTTACATTTATAATGGAAACATTGCTTGATGTTTAATTTTTAAAGTCAGTATTCTTATTTTTACTAGCATGCCCTTTGTTGTCAATATGGAATAAAAGAGTTGTAGTTGGTTCGCTGCTGAGAAATGTTATATCATTGGCTCTCAGTTTCAGAAATGTCTTAAGGTTTATTAGGATTCAATTGTTTCTATGTCTTAAAAAACATTTGGTATGTTCCTTTTTGACTGATAAAATATATAAAGAATGAATGACCCTACAATAAAAGGTACAACTGTCACATCTTAATAATGAATGAATATGTCAGGCTTGACTCTTAGTCTTAACTTGAATTCCCTTGAGTTTTAACTAGCAGATTTTTAGTATGAGAACATTTAACAGATCCATTATCTGTCTTCAAATGTATATGGGGCACTGGTCTGGGCCTGTCTTCCGTCCTCCACTGCAGGAATATTTGTTCAGGTGACAATCTACTTTGTGTGTGCATGTATGCACAATGTTTGCCACCTGATCACCTGTTCAGCTATGATATCAGAAATGTGTGGTTTATTCTTCCTGGAAAGTTGCAACACTAAACAATGACGTACTTCATTGCAACACTATTTATTTATTTTATCACACAATGCAAAATGAGTTGAGCAACAAATGTCGGCTTTGGCCACTTACTTCCTTAGATGCAGTGCTATGAGTTTAAGGCTGTGAGTTATTAATTGTAAGCTGCAGCACCAGCTGTAGCAGGAGCAGGCAGTGAATGGACTCTCTGTCTGCACTGAGCCGTGTTTTGTGTGCGAAACTGGAAACAATGGGTAACCAATGAGACAAGACCCATGTTCCTTAGTTCTGAGCCACCGTTAGTTAGTGGGGGAGGCCAGGGGGAGGCCTTTTGTGTGTATCTGTGTGCTTGTGGGTGTTTGAGAAAGAAAGGGGGAGGTATTAAGATGGGAAGGGGAAGGTAGGTTAGATGTATGAGAATGTTAGTGCGGAGGCCAACAGTCTGTCTATCTTTGGGTTTGATTTAACACACAGGATATCAAAGTAAATACACCTGCTTAAAAAATTATCTTTTCGTTTAGGTTTCTCAAAATTGAGTTTGCATTGACTTTAGTGTGTTATCAGAGCGTGTCACAACGCCTCTCATTTCCCGCTCTGTGTGTTTTGGGGCTATATGTCACACAAAAACACGTACATGGCAAATGTGTTTCTCTGTATGAACTCATGCTCTCAAGTTGTCTTTAAAATACTAAGAGTAAACTGTTCTTCAATTCTTTCCACACCTGATCTATGATGACATTTCATAGTTCCTCTTTTCATCCCATTCGCATCCTGCTTTTTTCACCTCAGTCCCCTTTTTTAAAAACAAAACCTGGGTATAGCCAATGTTAGGCACCAGGGGGCAGGAGAGAACCGCTGTGACACTGAGGAGACTTTACTGGGCCTTGGTAACTTTTGATATCCAGATAGTTAAAATGACTATAGGCAATTTAAACATGTTTGTTTTCATACCGCACATAGAACATATTGACCTACATTAATTATGTTATCTTATCATGTAGACTAAATATCAATATATTTAACAGATGGGTCATCTCTGTACAAAGTATATTTTCCTCTGCAAGCCTGACACAAAAAAAACAACAATATTAATTGAGGAGAATCCAAAGTAATAGACTTCCTAGGGGAAAAAAAACAATAAGCAGAAGCATAGATTCCAGGAATCCTTTTCCTCTCACCGTGCAAAACAATCCCTTCATTATTCCCATACAGACAAGTTCACACCGATTTATCAGACTTTACAGCTTCTTTGCTATCAGTATAGCCTAATATTCCTACAAGGACGTACATTTAGTGATAAGATTCTAGCCATCGTAACCTTCTTGTATTGCACTTTTTTATCTTGTCTGTTTTCACTTTTTTTACTAGAGGAACTCCTTGCTGCATCTCAACTTTGAGTAACCAGTGCATTGGTACTGGTTTTTCTTTTTAATACCCCCATATACATTTGATATGGGATTACTGCATGGTCTCCGCATATGTTTGGAGGGGCTGATCTTGTGCGTAAAACATCCCTGATATTTGAGGCGCTCCAGGGATTTGGTGCGCATGCGCAGTGCACCCCTCTCTCACAGCAGACGAACCGCTGCTGCAGCCCAGCAGTCATACCGAGCATAGCCTGCGTGTCAGTGCAGTCGACTTACAGCTGGCTGTGAGGACAACTGGCGCTATTTGTTTGCTCTTTATCACCGCGATACATTTACACATATTTCGAAAAAAGTGTCAACTCGGTGTCTCTCTTTGTGGGTTTATTTTATTCAAGTTTTACAAATAAATTAAACTAAAGTTGGAGGCTGGGCCTTTAGCTTGTTGACCGTAGCTTGAGAGGAGAAGAAGAAGAAAAAAGCTGGTCTTTTTGTGGTAAAAACTCGATAAATGCTACTAACGAAAATGGACCTGTTAAACTACCAGTACCTGGACAAAATGAACAACAACATCGGCATTCTCTGCTACGAAGGTAAAGTGGAGTGAAGAGTTTGTGCTGCTTTGTTTTTAAACTCTCAGTTAACGCTGTGAGTTACCGTCCGAGACTTTGTCCAAGTTTCACTCAACTTACTTCAGCCTAGAGTCTGCTGCCTGGCTAGTTGTTGTAAAATCCATCACATGTTGACTAATTGCATTTCAACAAGACTTATACAAATCATAAACTGTTCTTAACACTTTTCAACGGTTTGAACTTGATGTCAACGTAAGTGTTTGTCAATTGAGTGTGGTATTAACTGTTAGCAAAGTAGTCAACGTTGGCCGATGTGTTGCTATTTGCTGGTTATCTGAACAACTGGAAGTGTGTTTATAAGCCCGTGTTTTCATTTCTGAGCTATTGGCTGCTTCCCGAAAGGAAGACCTGGCTATTGATTGAGATCAGAGGCTGACTACATGGCTCTCCTCTCACTGACTCACTCTGTATTACTATTTGCTCAGTTATTCAGACTTTCTGCTCTCTATCATTCACAACTACCTTTGGCATTCCTAACTGTATGATCATTCTGGCAACATGTCTGACTTCAGTTGAATCAGATTGTGTGTTGTTTACTTATTTGTCTCATTGTCTTTTTGTGAGATGGTTTGGATTGATCTCTTATTCCTTTTGCTGTAGTTTCCCAGTGTGGACTGCAACTTATTTTCTAGCAGGAATAGTAGTGTAACTTCTGTCCTCTGCAGTTACTGCTCACATGTCAGGCGTTGTAATATCATCCAGTCTTTCCGAGGGCTAAAAAAGACCTCCTTCCTCTGCCCCTGATTCTGAACATGCAGAATCAACTCCAGAATTGAAAAGAAAAAAGGACCACTTAAAATGGTCCATTATTGACATACACAGCAACTAATTATATATCTTTTAAATCTAATTCTAAGTCCCTACACAAGGTGGTTTATACAAAAAACAGAAGTTCTAGCATCACAGAGGAACACCTTTTTCTTCTGAGAAACTGATCAGCTTTGTATTCGTCTCTTCTCTCCCTCTGTTCATTATCCTAGTCTTCCCCCACTGCTCCTCTGCCACGGTTAGCATCTCCTCTCTAAATGTCACATATAATGAACGATTAATATCACTCCTAAGACGTACAACTGAAAACCATTTTGCAGTTTAGCAGGTGTACAAGTCACATTTTATAGCAGGAACAGCGAACATGTTTTTTAAGTGTTTGAACATGTGGTTATGGTCTCTTTGGAGTTGTTCTTTTTTCCTGTTTGCAATGCTGTGTGGGAAACAAAAATGTTGTGTGGCTGTAATTCCTGTTCGACAAGCTGTTTGACGAAAAATGATTACTTTTAGGCATGTGGCTTTTTTTTTTTTTACTCAGTGGTTCAGGCACTCATGAAATGTCCCTGAAGCAGAAGCTCACAGTGCGATGATGGTGCAGCAGATAAGGCGGCCCCTGGCCTGGGACAGAAGCCAATCAGAAAGCTTCTCTGTGTCACTACAGAGATTCATCTTTCTCAGATTTCATCCTGTCTGTTAGTGAAAAAAAATGACAGGAGTGAAGTGGGCTGGAGACTTCTTTCCAGTGGTATTTTTATACTTGTATATCCTCAGGGTGTCTCTTATGTGTGATGTGTTTAGACACAATGCTCTCTTTCTATCTTTGGAAGAACATTTCTTCAGGGTTTACCCATCTATTGTTTTCGTGTGTGTTCTTTTAGCTGACTACGCCAAAAACTGACTCCATCATGTGCCTCAAGATAAGAAAACAAAGATAAAAAGAGAGGGAATAGAGCCAAACAGTAAAAAGAGTGAAAGAAAAGCCCTTCATGTTCAAACATGTTGAGCCAAGAAGGGGTTCGGAGGAGCTTTGTGATATGGTGGGTGTTCTGACTTGTTATTGTATGCATCAGCACACACTCAAAATACATTCCTGGACAAATGCATACATAAATGCTCATGATGCACTTGAATAACCATATTAATAGTTTAAATAAAGTGTTGAATATTTTCACTATCCTGATGCAAAGTGGCATACAGCATGATTTACAGTGCTAGAAGAAAACAGGTGCACCATACATTCACACCTAAACACATTTACATCAGAATTCGGTGATGTCTTTGTGTGGCTGAACAAATAACGCAGGGAGCTGAAAATGGCCTACTTGCCGTTGCTATATTTAATGTCATTTCCAGTATCCAGATATGAAACGTGTGGCAGTCGTTTGTACAAAACTGACAGATACGTGGCTTGTTTACATGATGTAACAATGTCCATGTTTTGCAATGTTATGACCCAGTTTGCTGTAAATGAAGGTGTTGAAAAAATCACATCCAGTATTGCCTTCTTCTGTTGCAGTTGGATAGATTGGTTTGGTTTGCATATTGTAGGGTTATAATTGGGAGCAAGTTCCAGGATATAAGAAATGAAGTTATTGTAGTTTGCTTTGAGGTGCTGACCATCAGTGTGTTGGTGCCAGGTAGGATGAAAGGAGGACTGGAGTCAAACCATGTTGTCATGCTGATATTAACCTTTCCATGTGTATATACAAAGAATCACATTATTACCAAGTTGCCTTCAGCATTGTAAACAACTGCTCCAATTTCCTGCAAAGCAAAGATTGCTCCCATTTTATTTCAAATCCTTTCATTTCCCAACCAAGCTGTGCTCTTGATTCTATTTTTGGAAATGATTGTTTTTTTGCCAGTTGTGTGATCAGACTGAATTGGAGGATTTATGCATTATGCAACTCTTTATCACTTTGTGCCTCTCTCTCTCTTTGTCTGTCTGTTCATCTGTCTCTCTCCCCACTCTCCCTTTCTCTTTCTGTAAAGCTGCTATCAGTTGTAGGCCTGGCCGGGAGGGGTGCAGGGGAATGCTGACTGTCCCTTTTTTGCTGCTGAGCAGTAGAAAATAAACAAGGTTGAAAACCTCCTCAAAGCCATGTACTTTCGTCAACTTCTTTCCCTCTTTGTCCCTCTATCTTGCTCCCCTTTCCTTTCTCTGTCAGAGATCAAACCAATCCAACATCCGGTTTAAAAGTTCAGCTCTGCAGACAAGAACTTTTATGCAACAGCTTTTTTGTGTGTCCTTTTTGAGTATTTAAAGCCTAAAACCTCCACGGACTTTGAAAATAAAGGCAACCCAGAGGGCCAAGTTCAGGTTACTGAGGACCTCGGCCAAAAATAATCACTTTGCTGCTTCGCAGAGAGAGAAGAGGGCATGCTTGAACTCATCCTGTCTTAAGGGGGAAAGGAGAGAGGGAGAAAGCCAGAGGGGAATAAAGAGATAGAGGGGTACCTCTGTTTGTAATCCAATCTCATCCTGATTCCAAGCTGTTTGAAGTTCTGTCAAGAGAAACAGGCTTTGATCATGTGGACCAAATGAACCGAGAGAGCAGAGGGGAAAGGAAAGAGTGGAGTTTTAATTCTGTGCTACAGTCCTCCTTCCCCAGGCAGTCTGCTGGCTTAACAAAACAAACAGTGTTTACTCGTAATAATACAATGTTATTTTTCTACCAAACAACTATAGAATTGATAGAGAAAATGATGAAATGAATTATTTCAAGCATTGCCATTTGGTGCTTTTGCCTATCTCTGTATTTGATGTTGCCTGTTGCTGTGCAAATTATAATTGGATTATGTTTTACTATTCAATTCTGTCATGGTTTAGGAGGCATGCATAAGCAGGTCAGTTTGCTTAGTTTATAAGTACCCTTTTAAACAAAGAACTTTGTGTCTCAGTTCTTTCTTACATGATGGCTTTTTTTGTCACCTCTCTTCCAAGATAGTTAGTTAGAAAACTAAAGTTATTCCTGTAAGGAGAATCATTTTCCAGATATTAGTAATTCACCACTATCAACTTAGTGCTAATGCTCCTGCAAAACTCCTATGAAGTCCTTCCAATCTATATTTGCGGTGCTGCAGGCGTAAGGTCACAGGTGTTGGACTATATATGGACAAATGTCTTATTTTTCACAGGGGAAGCACTCACAGATTCACCTATTGTTGAGCGTTTTACTTCTGAACCTCTGCTAAGCTATTATGTGTCCTGGATTTTGATTGGCCAGTGTGGTATCACAGGCTCCCTTCTTTTATTGCCAACCCTCTGTCCTGCCAAAAACAATGATGTCACCCTTGTTGCTATGGTTCACAGTGGGGCGAGCAGGAACATGCCAGAGATAGAGAGAAAGGGGAGGTGCTGCTGCTGTGTTTGGGAGGCCATGCTAAAACTAAACGTACATATAGGAAGAGTGGAGGAACAGAGAACACACTTTATAACAGTACAAAAGCCTTTCAGTGTGTGTTTGTCTGTGTGTGTGTTATTACTACGAGTTTCTGGATGATTTAATTGTTGCGCTATGGCAATTGAGACGGCTCAGAAAATATTTGCTCCGTCTCTTTAAATAAAGTCATATCATTTGTATGCATATGTAAATTAAATTCCCACTGTGCTGTGTAGGAGTTTTTAGTTAACTCTACGTTAAGATAATCAACATTGAATTTGAGTAATGTTTGTAGTATGAAAATGAAAACAGGACAATGTGTTTCTTTGCAAGGGGAAGTGTTTACAACTATTTATTTTAGGGAGTAGTTGTAGAGAAAGCTGCACATGGGAATCAGAGTTTTAGTCTGAGCTTTATGTTTCTGTTGGGGCAAAGTCAGACACACACATGAGGCAGAAGCAGTGGAAAGTCCCCGCGCTGAGACGGAGCCAGTGGTAGTTTTCCTGATTCTCTTTTGCTCTTACTCCCACTCACTGACGGCTGTGTAAGGCTTCTGTACCAGGACAAGACTGGAGGTTCGCAGAAAGAGTCCGACACACACACAGAGAAATAGTTCGCACCACACACAGACGTGCATGCAGAACCCATCCACAACTATTTCTTCCAAAACATTCCTAACCAGATACTCTCCTGCGTATGCCAGAGGTTTGTGCCTCACTCAGCAAACTGTATAAGTCAACAAAACCCAAAGTTTGAGCTGGAACACAGCATGTATAGTAACACTGTCATGAAGTACTTTGTGTGGTTAGCTTGTTTAAAGTGGCAATAAAACAGTTGCCTTCTACTTGAAAATACCATCATTTTAAACTAATTATCATAATTTACACCCACGGCGAGGCGCCATTTTGGCAGCGTAAGCATGTCAGTAGACAGACTTAACTGTCAGTTTATACTCAGTCATGTTTGAAGTGACCACAGTAAAGTCAACTGTAGTTTTCCTGGTGCTATACTTTGAATTCAGTCTGGTTTTGTCATTTCTTTTCATCTTTTATAATTGTTGTACTGCCTCATACGTCATTATTAACTTTCTACCTCTTGTCTCCCTCCCTCCTCAGGTGAAGCAGCTCTGAGGGGCGACCCCAGACTCCAGTCCCTGTCTCTGTCCTCTTCTTCATCCTCCTCCTCCTCATCGTCGTCCTCCTCCTCTTCCTCCTCCATCTCCAACCACAGGACAGGTCCTCCTCCCATCAGCCCCACCAAGAGGAAGCTGAGCGGGGACCAGGGCGACAGCGACATGGACGACAACGAGCATGTGGCAAAGATGAGCCGCCTGTTTGCTACGCAGCTGTGAGTACACACACTCAACTGGCACTTATACGCTATCTAACAAAATCCATTATGAGGAGCTTAAAATAACGTTATTTATAGATGCTAATTTCCTGAGGCCCTAGTGAAATTATTTATTTATATATATTTTCTATCCCTTCACCCTGTCTATCTGACACTCACACAAACATTGAGAAGGCCACCTTGCTGTCTAGAAGCTACATTTACACACATACTAGACCCACTGTTTTTAAAGTCAATTAAACTTCAGTGTTTCTGTTGGCCACGTGTTTTGCGGGCTCCTCGCTTGGTAAAACTTTGCCCAGGCAGGCCTTCTCAGAAGTCCCAGTTTGGACTCCGGGGTGCTATGCCAGGTTTAGCCGGCTCCACAGAGTTCTCCTTATAGCCGCAGATCTCTGGAAGCTTGGAAACAGGGGCTGCACAACAGAAAGATTACTCACATCTCCAGCGTTCCCACATTCCCACTTCCAGAGATTCCACAGATTCTGGTGCGCTGATTGGCTGTGAAGGACTGCTGGGGCCGGGGGCAATGGAGTCACAGCAACCCCCCCCTCCAACACTCTCGTTCTCGGTTTGACTGAGTCAGTCATGGGACTCCGGCCATGCTATTTATTGCAGAGATGTTATGTGGAACTGTGCAGTTCTGCATGCATGCTAATTCCTCAATAGGTCCTGTTGCTGCAAATACAAGCAATTTGAGGAATGATCAGCTGTTGTTTTTATGTTGCTACGTTCATTGCATTGTTAGGTTTGTCAGTCAACATGGCTGGGAGGTGACACAATTACATTACATGTTACTTGTTAGACGCTTTTATCCAAAGCGACTTACATACTCAATACTGTGGGCAATCCCCACAGGAGCAATTTGGGGTGAAATGTCTTTCCCAGGGACACAACGACATGCTGACTGTAGTGGGGTTTGAACCTGTGCTCCCTTGATCCGAACACCAACGCTCTATCCACTGCGCCACACGCCTCACTAGAGAGGGAGATGATATGGATATACTGGAAGCCCTGGATTAAGAGTTGAGCACCCTTACTAGTAGTGTTCTTATGTGGTTAAGCATGTGCAAACACAAAGATGTATGCATGAGAGCTTGGACAAACACTTGCTGCACATTTGCACACTAAGCAAGTGTTTGAAATAAAATATCTGTTGAAGGAACATCCAACATCATTTTTGTTTCGATCACGTTCAGACTGTTATGTTAAATATGCGTCTGTAGTAAATTAGTTTTTCATAGCAATTACAAAGAAAAAGGCAATAGCGAATCACAGACATAGTACGTACCCAAGTCACTCATGCACAATAATCCAATCATGACTAAATATTCTTTCTGCTGACATGTTCCAAACATGTAGCTAAATTCTCTTCTTTCCTATCACACAGTCATAACTCAAAAGCTCACCAGTCATAGCAAATGTGCAGTTCATTGGTGAAGCAATAATCGGCAATATATCTGAGATCATCCTGGGCTTTACAGTGATTCTCATCAATGCTCAAGGCATTGCAAAAGTTGTTTATTGTCACCATTTTTTTTCAACGGCTTGTGTTATAGGTAGCAATTCTATGACTTTTGATTGAAGTCTTGTAGTGGCACAGGGAGAGGGTCTTTGTTCCTTCATCTCGTGACTGTCTGGCCTCACATAACAAAGGATTAGCTTGTGTGTCTTGACATTAGTGCAGTCATCTTGTTTTCTGTTATGGATGTGTCAGTGGTGGGAGAATTACCATTATACACTCTAACCAGGCAGTAAATCCATCTTCTCACTTGGAGTTTTTTCTGTTGTGTTAGTTGTTTTTCCACTCTCTTTACGATATCTTTCACGCGCGATGCGGTTAACTTCTGCATACATTGATAAGCAAATTCTCCTACTCGTGTATCACGAGTTGGAGTTTTATTTCACAAGTTGGTCTGCTAAAGTACAATGGGACTTATTGTCATATCAGCTTTCAGTTGGTGTTGCAACTCCTGGCCACAGCTTCTAAATGCAACCATTTTGTTGAGTAAAACGTAGGTTCTGTCAAAGGAAAACTGATCTCAAAACTCTGTTATGTTTATGACTTTCCAAACAGCATGATTATTTACTAGAATTAACCTGTGATTACCCTTAATCACTTTATTTAATCTTCAATTGAATTATGACCTTGGAAGTCATTTGGCTCCAGGTACTGTTGGTTACTCTCTACACAAGAAAAATCAATTGCTTGTTGACTTGCTGCAACTTGAAGTTAAACCCTGGGGTTTTTCCGAAGTTTCATCATGATGTAGAATATTTGCCTCAGGGCCATCCTAAATGCATCGCTTTTTTTGTCATTTCATTTGAGGTTTCTCTGAGGGCATGCTTTCCCTGGCAAAGTTCACTTCTGAGAGACTTGTTTAAACCTGCAGTCAGGCTGCCTCTGACAAACTTTTCCTCCTTGTTTTTCTGCCTTTCCATAGAACAGTGATTACACCAAATTGGAGAATGATGGGTTATTGTTACAGGAAAAGTCAAGCTAAAAATAATGTGGTGAAAACAGCCTTTTATAGAAAACACTGGTGGGTACTTTGCTGTCTTTATTTAAAATACATGAGCCGTCCGCTTCATTTATCTCATCTGCCAATAGTTGGAACAGTGATTAGGTTTAATTTGAAAATGATGGACTTAGTTACAAGCTAGAGAACAAACCCAGGCCACCCCTCACCACACCAAATGTGTACACACACAGACACACACACACATGCGCACACGCACGCACACACTCAGTTCAAATGTCCAGAGATGGTTATCTGACACCATTCTAGCTGTTGGATTTTGCTGGCTGCTTCTGCCTGTGTAGCTTGTTTTTTTGTCTGCACTGATTGCTCTGCTCAGACTGTTGCTGCATGTTCAGGAGCTTTTGTGTTCATTCTTCTCTTTAAAAGAAACACCTTTGTTAGGCTTAAATGGCAGTTTTCCCTTGTGCTGACAACATACAGTAGGTTGCTAAATTATGTGCGTTTCTGTCACAAGGTTTATAGTAGGCGTTCTTTTGTCTTTTCAATTCAGTCATATTTCAGACAGGCACCTGACACCTTAGACTTGAGGCGGGGCTAAGCAGGAGTAAGCTCAGGTTACTGCCAATCATAACAAGCTGGAGTCAGCGTAGGCATAGACTGGGGAAAACTTTCTGAACCCTCTCAAGGCTTTTCACTTTAATACGGGCACGATAAATGAGGGGATTTTGATATTGTCGAACGGCTGTGAATTAAATGTGGCTGAGTTTATTCTTCTCAGCCATCGTAGTGTTTTATGGTGAAGTCACTATTGTAATATAAATACAAAGTTTATAGCATGGTCAATTCTACATATAAAAGTCTGATTGAACACATCGATAGGCCTAGTTGCAGGATATGTGGAAACGATCTCTTTGTACTGACTCTGCATAGGCCTTCTGCAGCCACTGCAGGTATGCACAAGTGTTGTTTTGTGCGCTGTCCGTACATGCATGTGTGCTTGCCCATCTGTGATAATCTGTGTGTGTGCATGTGTGTGAGAGGGCTCCTTGTCAGGCAGCAGAGGCAATACTTTCTCATTTTCTCTGAGGAGTAGGAGGAGTCTTGAACAAAGAAGCCTTATCCTGTCCACTGGAGCCTGCGGGCTGGAAGCCTGCTGCTGCCTGCCCGCCGCTCTGCAGTTGTAGCGCCGCCAGAATAAAAGTCCTCTAGCTCAGCTGTTTCATTCCTCCTTAGGAATAAGAGCCGGTCACAGAGCAAGGCTTTTTATAGGGTTTTCATTTTGGGAATATGACTGCAAGAAAGTGTATGCAGCAGCCTGGTTACATGTGACTCACTGTTGATTTTCTCAGGTGATAAGCTTTGATGTTTATCGAAACTAAGTGTATATATTTTTTAATTATAATATACAAAGTGTATTGTGTATATGTTCTGTATAGTTGGTTGCTTAGCTGAATTACATTTTAAAAACCATTAAGTCAGATTAAGTCAGATTTTGATGAACCTGACAAGTTGACCTGGGGATTGCTCGGAGCAAATGTTCCTTTTTTCTCTTTCTCATGCTTTGTTCATGCTCTTACTGGCTGAATTGCCAAAAAGACATACTGACCACGACTTTGTTCAGAGTAGTACTTCATCTTTCTCTCTGCCTTGCTTTTATTTTATGATACTCTCAAATGTAATTCTGTCCCTAAAATGTCCCAAAAAGCTACATTTAGTCAGTGTAGCCAGTTTGCTGCAGTAAGTACTGTAGCATACAGAAAGTGCAGCTGCCTTCTACTGGGAACTTCATCAGTAAATTGTTCTCATGGAAGTTTCCCCAAAGGCCAAATTGGGGAAAAATAAGAGGGGAGGAGGAGTGTGTGTGTGTGTGGTTGTTTGTGTGTGTGTGTGTGTGTGTGTGTGTGTATAGTTGGTTTGTATGAGTGTGGTCAAGCCAGGTGAGGTCATTGTTACTCGCTTGATGGTACTGGACTATTTAGTGTAGGAGCATGTGAGAAAAAAAGGGGTATCACGTGTGTTTTTTCTTCCTGTGTGTGTGTGTGTGTGTGTGTGTGTGTGCGAGTTCTCATGTTGTTTTCTTTGCCTGCTTGTTATGGTTGTTCCCATATCCGATCTGTTCCAGCTTTAATAACAAAGGATTTCTTCAGTTCTCTTTCTCTGCAGTCAGTTTACCGTCCATTATGTGCTAGATTTCTATCAGCATTGCTGCGTGAGTGGAAGTCTAAAAGATTTGAAATGGCTGCGTAAATCTGGCTTGTTGTAGATGTTAGGCCTGATGTACCAAACCGTTTTCAAGAATTCTTTGTAAGAATAATTTCTATTTCATGTTCCATGTCATGAACAATTACCAATTTATTCCAATACTACTCTGTAAATCACATCTGTAAGGTGTATTTTCTCTGGTTTCTGACTCTTCTATTTTAAAGGATACAAATATTATTGCTAACTTCCGCTCAGTCCCGCAACTCAAACCTGAACTGAGCAGAGTAAACTGTGCTGAGATGTTTGTATACTTTATATACATAGCCTGGGTAGGCTCTGTGGCTCACTTTCTGTGTGTGTTTGTGTGTGTGTGTGTGTGTGTATATCCATTTTGTGGGTTTCAGCAGACCTCGCAGAGCTCGGGCCTGGTTGTAACCTGCGGTTGAGCCTTCATCCTCCTCTGCTTAATTTTTTTGTCGTCTTCTCCTCTCTACGCCCTGATTCTTCCCAGATGTTTCCTGTGTGTATCTCTCTCTCTCTCTCTCTCTCTCTCTCTCTCTCCCTCTCTCTCTCTCTCTCTCTCTCTCTCTCGCTCTCTCTCGCTCTCTCTCGCTCTCCTCTTCGCTATCTTCGGCTCTCTCCTCTCCGCTCTCTCTCTCTCTCTCTCTCTCTCTCTCTCTCTCTCTCTCTCTCTCTCTCTCTCTGTTCTTGCTCACTCTTTATCTCTTAAAGGAGTAGCATATGAACCTCGTCCCGACTAAAGATTTACAGTGAGGTTTTCTCTAAAAGACTAGAGGACAATTGTGAGAAAAGGCGTGGAACTTTTATAGCTCCTGTATCTTTGCCTCAAAGTAAAATATAGCTAACTCACCACATTGGCAGTCTACTATAAAGCTAAACCTGGAAAACTCAACCATCATTTTAAAGTTATGGGTTTATTTGTTTGACTCACTTTCCATTTTGACAATTGGACAAGTTAGCTCAAAGAAAGCGGCTTGTTTTAAGAAACACTTCACAGGGCTGACTGTGTTTTGTTCACTCAAGTCACTCAAACATGATCGCAGTCATGATCTTTAACTTGAGGTTAACTTGAAGACAGGGTGTCATGTGAAGGGTTACTCAAAAGGCTGGACTTAATGACAGATCAGAGTGGTGTAATATTGTTTAAGATATATGACCATCATTGATGTATTGAGGGTTGGACTCTCTAACTTTTAAATGATGGGATATTCCAGTGAATCTCAACCACAGTGACCACCACTAATGCCAGGCTACACAAAACCCAGGCTCTTGTCAAATAGAATCAAATAGAAAATGCTCTTTATTCCATTGTGTCAAAATATCTATCCTGATTTCAGTCACACGGTTCTCATTATGAAAACAAACCGGTGGGAGAAACCTTGCAAATATTCAAGTAAAGAAGACGGACCAAAGCGAGGTTAGGAGTTGTACCGTACCTGCAGTCAGAGTGCTGGTGGTTTCTGTATATTTGAGTCATTTCTCTAAAATCTATACCAGCATCATTATATCTGAGCTTCTCTGTCTGCCCCCTCCTCAGCGTGGGTCTTGCTCCATATTGATGCTCGATCTGAAAGTATTAAGTTACCCTGTGAACATTTATTGTGAAATAAGATTCAGCTGCGTCCCCAACCTCGTCCCCACTCCTTTTATTCACTTCGTGTCCTCTTGTAGGGGCCAAATCCAAGAGTTCTTTACTTTTTAAAGGTTGCCCCGCTCCCCCCTCTCTCTGCCTGTCCCACTTTTAGCTCTCATCCTCTCCTCCAGCCCCAGACATGGCACCCCCTCTCCCTTCAGCTCTAGCCTTGTTACCACCCGTATGCCCACATGCGTCTCCCTCGCTGTCCGCCCTCTCCCTCTCTCCCCAGCTGCGACCCTAACCATAATTGAGAGGTGAGTATGAGAGACAAAGACTCGGGGTCGGGTTTGAATGCCCGATTCCTGGCATGAACTGCGGTCCAGGGTTTGGTGGGCAATCAGGCGAGGAGGGGCGGGGACGGCGGTGGATTCGACAGCTACGCCATTCATTGGTCGGATTTGTTGATCCTGTTCACTGGCTCCTGCAACGGCCCCTCTTGTGTGAGGATGTGGGGCATGCCTGCTCCTTGGCAATGATTAAAGTTTGGAACAACTTCCACAATCTAACTCAATACCCAGCTGCTGAGAAGGAGAGCTTTATTATCCGTTTGCCTCTAAAGTAATCTGCTGGTTGTTTATATTTGACGATAACAGAGTTTTACAGGAGGTTACAAAAGTTAATTTGTTCTATACAAATATTTAAAACAACAAATTCATTATATTTACCTGTTTGACTCCACAAGGCCGTTATTTATTGACTTTCCGAGACAGATAACTGATGCTACTATGGGAAAACATTGGAGCCTGTTGGCGAGCGGTTGGCCAGGGTTTCTAAAAGCGCTGCCAAGTCTCTCCCTCTTTAACCCTCAGGAAGTTTGCTGCGGATTGTGAGGAAAAAAGAGAAAGAAAGACAAAGAGAGTAAAAAGAAAAGGGGGGTCTCTGCTAATGTAAGCTCGGCACAAACGAAGGAAACTATCGACCTCGCTCTTTCTTATAGTAGAGGTCCGGACCATTCACATGCAGCCCCCCCCCGCCTCTCGGCAGCTCTTCCTCTCTCCCTCTCTGTATTCTGTGGAGACTATTTATTTGTGGAGGACGCTGCTGTGGGTTCCAGATGCTTGACCCAGCAGTCCGGTTGCCTGGTCACATGGATCTACAACTGTTTGCCTGAACTTCTCGTCTTGCATCGAAACAAAAAAATTAAAATAAAAAAAACTGCTGCAGCTTTTTCACTCTTGCATTCACATTCAGGCTTTTTCTGGAGCCCCCACACAGTATCTGTTGAAGCACAAAGAGGGCATTTCCTGTATTTTTGAGTGCAGCTTATTATTTATAGTACAATGTACCGTTGTTTTGTTTTCCAAATGGAGGCTTTTGTGTGTATGTAAAGTGTTTATGTCGGTGTAGGAAGTAGGAAGTCGGTGAGTTCTAATTTGTGAATGGCTGTGTCGTTATGCATGTGGCTTTGAGGTTGGAGAAAAGGAGAGATAGTAGGAGGCGAGTGCAATAAATCTTGCTCCCTGAAACTGGGCCTCAAACTGTAGGAGGGGCGTGGAGCTGCAGCCAGGGTGTAATACACAGTTGAACACGTACAGAACGCAGACCACATTTGACGCACTGAGCAAAATAATTGCTACTGTTAAACTGGAAGCAATGGCGCACGGTATCAGGCGCCGCCAGTTCTCTACAAATCAAACATTTCAAAGTCTTTTTCATTAGAGCTGGGAGCTGGAGAAAAAAGAGGCCGAAATCTGTGTTTTGTCAAACTGTCGTTACTTTAATCTCTTACCCCTTATCGCTGCTTTTTCAATGATTAAAATATGAGCTCACAGATTGGAGAGGGGGATTTTGTTGTGGTGGGAAATAAAACTCTTTCATATGGAAACTGTGTGGCAACCTAACTTTTTTTTTACTTTTAGTATTCAGCTCGTGGTTGTAGAGTAAAAAACAAATGGTTATATGGATGCTGTATCAACTTTAGCAAATGAAAGTGTGTTGAGATGCAGATAGAGGCAACTCCTCTGCATGTGTCTGTGCTGTAGGAGCCCTGCTGGATTTTCCGAGTGTTTTCATTGGACAGCAGTGATTGCAGCTGGGTTTCATGCTCACTGGGGAGATAAAGCTGATACGCTGTTCTGAGGAAACCACTCCACAGCTTTGAACTTTGTGCCTGTTTGCCCCTCTGTGCAGGGAGACATTTGGAGCCCATCCATGTTGGATAAAGTTAGGAGTGTTCCTTCCTCCTTCATTAACAGCAAACATTGTGTGTGCGTGAGAGAGAGCATGTGCTTGTACAAAATAGTCTTATCAGACCCTACAGCAATCTGAAAAGTGAGTGTGTGTGTGTCTGTGTGTGTGTACCATTTACAATCAGTCTTTTGTTTAGCTTACCTCTCTTTGCCCTCAACCCTTTCTCGGAGCCCCTTTCTACCTGCCTTTATTCCTTTCTTCACACTCATCTTTTCCATTAGATACACGATCTGCCACCAGTCTGCTGTTTTATTTTTGTATTGAGCTCATCCCTAACACAGAGAGTTCTGTTTTAAAAACATTTGATAAGGGGCCATCTCAGTAAACTACAAATATTTTAAATGCGCATTTCTAATCAAATCAGAGTGAGAGGAAATGGAAAGCAGTTCAATAATGTTCCTCTTTCTGTCCCTCTGTCCTCCAGGAAACCCAATGGAGACTACCGCAGCTCCCCCATGTCCAAGGACCAGAGCCGGAGCCCCATCGAGCGCGTGATGGTGCCCAGCGCTCTGGGAGTCCACGGCAACCACCTTTACAGCCATGCCCACCACCACCACCACCACCACCACCATCTGGCTAGCTTAGCCGGGATGGACCAGCCGCTGGCGCTCACCAAAAACAGCATGGTGGAGTCTGCACGCAGCAGCACGGCAGCTATGGCAACCGTGCCGCACGCTGTCAGCGCCGTGGAACGCCAGCAGGTAACCCGCACTTCCTGTTTCTCTGTTTCGAGCACCAGACTACATCTTTTTCAAATTGTTGGGTAAAACCTCAACCCATGTAGAGCCCCCACTAGATTTAAGCAGTGTGCTTTCATTAGCCAGTCTCCTTGGATGGTGGGGAGAATAGATGTTCTATTTTCAAACCCTTGTGGTCAATTTATCATTCCACCTTCCTTTGGTCCGTTTTCTTTGCTTGAATATGTCCCAATACTTTGTGTTTCAGAATCGTCCTTCAGTGATCACATGCGCCCCAGCCAACAACCGCAACTGCAACCTGTCTCACTGTCCAGTCTCCCACAACGGCTGCTCAAGCCTGGCTAACAACTACAGGAGAATCAACAGTGAGTCCAGACACAGCAGAAAGAGAGACACATGACATGCTACTTTTCTCTAAATGCTAGTGTATTAATTGATTCAGTACTTAGGGTTATTGTAGAAAGACCGTGAGGGGTGGACAAACCTCTGTAATCCATTGATTGTTATGAAGTACTGGGCACATATGTCCCTCAAATCATAGTTTTCCATACGGTGCACTTTGTTGGAATCCTTTTCACAAGTGCAAATCAGCCTCCAGACAAAACACAACCGCTTATACTCCGTCTAACATTCAGACGGACTTACTAAAATTAGTGATGCTAAAAAAAAAAATCCTCCCAGCTCTCAGTCAGCGAGTCTCGGAGGCTTCAACACTCTTTATTTATCACCTCGTCTGTTATCTCGTCACTCGAGGCTTCAGCCAAACACGTCTGCTTTATTCGTCCCGCCTGCTGTGTGTGTCGGTCATGTTTCCCGTGGCTTCACTCAACTGTGGTCATTTTTATGATCTTAGTGAAATCCCTATGATCTCATTGAGGTTAACAATGACATTTAAAACGGTGATTTAAAATAAATAAAAAACGCAATGAGAAAGTGGAACCGAGTGTCTGAGTTTTCCGTTGACTTCAAATGCTCATTAGAAGTGTTTGAACCGATGCTTGGCAAAAAAAAAAACTTTATATTAGTGAGTTTAAGAGATGTTTCTGTTTTTATTATGGGAACTAAAAACTCTTTCCTATTCCTATCCTCTCTGTTTCAGCCAATACAGCCTGCGACCCGGTGATTGAGGAGCACTTCCGCCGCAGTCTCGGTAAGAACTACAAGGAGCCCGAGCCCACCGCCTCCAACTCTGTGTCCATCACCGGCTCGGTGGACGACCACTTCGCCAAGGCGCTGGGCGAGACCTGGCTGCAGATTAAAAACAAGGGGAGCCCCTCGTCGTCCGGCAGCAGCCCAAACTCCTCCCCCGACAGCCACATGGTCAATCACAACCACTCCCCTTCTGTGGTCTCCTGAAGGAGGCGGGGTTTCAGAGGGATTTGTCCTTCTCTTCCCCCCGATCATCCCGGCTCCAAAACCCACGCCCTTGTCACTTTGTTCTGTCACCAGCATCCCAGAGGGAGTGCCTGCCTGCTGGTCTGCTAAACTCATCGAAAAAACCCTCAAGTCTGCTCTTTCGCTCTCTATGCACTCATAGAGAATCAAGCAATAACAACACAGCCGTTTCCTCCCCCCCCCCCCCCCCCCCCCCCCCCCCCCTCCCCCCCCCCACCCCCCCCCCCCCCCCCCCCCCCCCCCCCTTCTGTCTTCTGGTCGTAACGCCAGACAATAATGAGTGATGAGGTTGGACTTTGGGACTCGACCGGAGCATCAAGCTGCTCCGTCCAATCATTCATCATCTCTGCATGTCGAGCTTGGAGCTGAGCGAAGAGTCTGTAGTTTTATGTACATAAAGAGAGGAGAAAGGCGATGTTTTAATTATTAATTTTTCTTCTTTATTCTGTTTGTTTGTTTCTTTAACAGTAGTTTTGTGTACTGCTTTTTGCGTTATGAGATGCCCGACTTTTGGAGAAAAGAGAACACTTTGGAGAAAAGTAATCACAAACCACCCCACTGTGCTACCAAAGAAACCTCACACGACGATGTTTATGAACGCCCACCTCGAAATCAAAACAACAAGAAGCCATCATGTATTTCTTTTCATCCTCTCACTATCCTTCTCTCCCTCTGCCCTGTGTGTGCTGTGCTGGTGTTGTTACTGTATGAATACTTAGCTGATCGATTTAGCTTGCACTGCTGCCATAGAGGGTAAAGAGTGACACATCAAGGTTTTAATGGGGCTGATTACGCTGATTTGACACAGTCTGCTGTAATCCTGCTTAAGTAGGAAACTCCATTAGATTTCAACAACAGTTTATCTGAAAACTAGCTGGCAATATTCTCACCCTGGGCCTGGCACGACATTTAAAGCAGCATTTTTATGCTTTTGTTTAATGGAAAATGCATAGTAGTGGGGTTGGGCAGTATAACATGTTAGAGATGTCCTTAGTAACACAAATGTCCTTAGTAACACAAATGTGGCTCCAATATGAAGCAAATGTGGTCACATCAAAGCATGTTAAGTGTAGCTGTTAACTACAAACACACGCTTGCATAGTAAAAGAAGTTAAGCAAAACAACGTCAGGTGTAAACTGCTTCATGCTTATTATTGGTAATGGTGCCAAATAGTTGCAAGCACAGGCAGGTTATGGGATCAGTGAAGTGCGGTGTGGATGGACATCACAGGCATTATGAGAGCAGCTCAGGGCTGAAACACAGCTGTACCAGAGTCAGTGTAGCTGAACAATGAGCTTTGATGTGTTCCACTGGCTTAACTGCTGACAGTGATGAGGGGATAGATGACGCTGCATGTCACTTTGTGGTTTGGGGGGAGGGGGGGGGAAAGTCTGGTTTCTGGACCGGGGGAGAGAAGATTATTTCGATCTCTTCACACACACCTTTGTTTTTGTGTCTCTTTGAACACGGGTGTTGTAATTATATTTGACGTACGCCCTGCTACCCCTCCCTCTCCTACACCCTGTGGTTTGGTCTATTTCTGCAAAGGTTTGAAGGGTAAACTAATGCTTTTTACGGATGCATGTTTTTTATTGTTTTGTTTTTTAATAGCTGGTATCTATTAATGTTTTTAAGCCGCATTTCAATCCTAACTACTATTAGCCTTTTCATTCAGACGTTAGTTGTTACTTCTTTCGATGTCAGTAACGGACATAGACACTATACACTCACTGCTGGGTCAGTCGTACTCCATATTATTATTGTTATTATGACAATTTTGTATTTTTTTGTTTTCCATTAATATCAGTATGGTAACAATCATCTATAGCCGGACAGGCTCTGTGTAACGATGAGAGCTGCGCTTCTCGAAAACGTTCTCAGCGCCGCTACCGATCAGTCGCTCGCGCAGCAGAGCGGAGATCTTCCTGGTGTTGAGATGGCTTTCGGGATACGCAGCCCATAAAGGTTTTCTTAAGATGTTGATCCATCGGTGGTACAGGATGCTACAACCTTCAGCATGACAGATCTGAGACACCAAATAAGCAAAAAATAGTCAACTAGGCCTTGTTCTCCTGAAAAGCATCTGCAGCCTGAGATAAAATGTACTCTTATGAGTCTGTGTCATCTTTAAAGTCACCACCTCGGTACCAGCCGTAACTCCCATTGCTGCTGCATTACTAAAAGTACTTAATACAGAATAGTCTTGCATGCGATGATGCTTTCAAGTAACAGGGTATCGTGTATAGTAAGAGCTTATTAATGTTTAAGAGCTAAAACAAACGTTAATTAGATACATTCGGATCTCACAGCTCTAATACTTCACCAGTTGACTCTTTTCTGTCCTGACTTGGTGTCCAGATCTTTTTTAATTCAATGCTTTCATTTTTGAACAACCTTGTATTGTATCTGCAGTTAAGCTAGACTGCTGCAGTTGAGACACAAATCATTTGACTGTTGAAGAGCCTGCGCCAAGGTGGCATACATTCCTCCTATAGGGAACTTAGTACAGGCCTCAGTATCTCCTTATCAACAGACAGAGCTCAGAACAGCCACGGCCAACTGGGTTTCGGACACTTTCCCGGAGTTACAATTGATGTGATAATAAAAGGAGAAATAAGCATTTGTTTTTCAAAGACAGACAACCTTTTTGAGAACATTGGGAGCATAGAATATACTGAGGCCGTAACAATAGACATTGATGTGAGTCATACTGCAGCAAAGAACAGAATTATTTCATGTCTCTGCGCTGAGGCTGAAAGGTGACGCGGTTCATATGTGTTGGTGATGGATGTACTCATCTTCATACTTTATCAAAATGACCGTGACCACAGTTAAGTACTCTTTCTCCCATGTTCTAGAATGACCACACATTCCATCCTAGACTGAAGCAAACTGACAATGACAGTTGTAGAATCAGATTGAGATTTCCAGCATGTTCGATCAGAATGAGACTCCCAGTGGAATCATTTCCAAAAGTACTCTTAGTCTAAATGTGCTTTCTGTGACAGCTTCAGAGTTTGGATGGAGATGTTTAGCGGGGAGGAGCAGGGCTTCAGGAGCTGAGCTTCTGTAAGCACGACCTGTGAGCCAGGAGATGTTCAGCTGCCACTGAGGGTCTCACAGTGACGCCCCTCCCCCACTCAGATTCAGCAGATTTATATTTGATGTAGAAAGCAACATGTGAGAAAACACGAGGGAAAAGGGCTCATTGTCTAGAGGATTTTGTTTTTCTATTTTTCTTTCTCCTTATTATTTCACTACCACCCTGTAGGTAGGAGGCTCTCTCTTTGCTTCGGCACACACTCCCTACACACTGTAGGAAAATCACTTAATAAAAAAATACTTTTTTTATAATAGGTAACTATAAGACCATCATTACGCTGTGCGTAAGGAATGTACAGAGAAAAAAATCGTAGGTATTTTTTGAGGAACAATTAATTTGTTAATGATATGTAGCTATTTAATTGTTGTTTTTTTCCTGTCCTTATATTGTAATCATTGCATTTTCTTTTTTGTGAAAAAAGTTGATCTTTTTTGTTTATAGAGTTTGTCTTGTTAGAGTAAAGGTTCAAGTGCAGGAACACAGTAAACGTATGAAACCACAATAAGGCCACTGGTGTGTCGGGGACAATCGCTACTTCCATTGCAATGTCCTGCAATCATTTAACTTGTGTTCGATCATGTGACTCCAGAGACATCCGAACAAAAGAGATTGTCCTTTTAGAGGCCTATTGAACATAACCCTGCCACTAGCCCATTGAGCCTTGCCGGCCATTTCCATTTAACTATTGAAAAGATAATAACAACAACATTGTGATGGGCTAGCAGGCGAGTACGTTTTCCACATATGCTTGTAAGGGTTATAAATGTTGGGTTTTGAAGGTATTTTGATGATGTTTTAGATCTACAGATGGGAACTGAACTACAAATGAGAACCATCAGTCCATTTGATAACACAGATTGGCTTTTCACTGAAATCAGAATTCTGAACCGGTGAAAATCCTGACTGCATTTTCATACTTTTTGTTGTGCTCAAGTTCATCGTCTGCATGTCTGAAAATAGGCTTTGGTTCATCACCCTTGTATCTGATGTGACATTTCCCATCTGTGGAGGCCATTTTGATCTGTAACCAAGTGAACAACATGAAAATTGTGCAGATAAATCAAAGAGGGGTTGGTCTTTACTTTGGCTGTACCACAATTTCCTGGTCCTTTTTGAAGTGGAAGTAGCATGTACTTAGTGGTAGTAATACTCTGAACTGTAAAAAAAAAAATTGTATCAAGTAAACTACAGTCGATTTGTGGCTCTGTGTCTCTACTAAAAAGGTTTTGGCAGGCCACCTTTTTTGTACGTAAAGTAGCCTTGATGAACAATAAAGTGCTTTTAAACCACTGTCTGACTGTGTGGGCCCCCGTCACTGTGTGTGTGTGTGTGTGTGTGTTATCATATGCTAGGAAAGACAATGGGAAGATGCAGCTACAATGAGCAAATATAATACAAACCTTTCACACAAACCAATATTTTCATTGCAACATTAAATTCACAGAAGAACAAATAATAAAGAGACCATTTATTCATTGGTTATATACTTACAGAAGAAAAAAAGCATGACAAAAACAACTCTGAGAATAGAACATTGAAAACCAAGTCAGAATCATAAATGCCATCTCAATTCTGAGAAATTCATAACAGGAAAAAGTCTGAGGTCAGGTTGATCCCGGAATTGTATTTTTCTCTCAATTCTGACATCACTTTTCAAATTCTGAAACGAAGGTCCCATTTTTCTCACATTGCACTTATTATCTTCCATACATATCAAGGCAGCTGTTGACATGTCGTCACACTGAAAGTAACATACATCTAATCAGTACAGAGAAATATCACACAGCAGTAAGAAAAGCAACAGATAAAGACATGCAAGCGTCAACACTAACAGACCTTCAGTTTGTCCGTCGGCTCTTTTATATTAAACTGTGCAGTTTTAGCTTCCAGGTTGTCTACAGCAACAGTAAACAGTTTCCACATCAGTTGCACAGTAACATCTGTGAGCTGGTTTTATTATGAACTGCACTGTATGTATCACAGTCTCCAGTAAACACACGGGGAGATGGATGGATTTGCTGAGTTGTCAACTGTGTTTTTGTAATTTCATAATCAATCTGAAGCACTCTTGAGTGAGCGAGCGAGCAGATGTTGTTAGTCAACGTCTTGCCAAAGGACACAGCAAACCCATTAAATGTGTTGATGGAGAGACGGTGGGGGGGATTGAACCTGGGTCTATTCAGTGAGGTTTTTTTAAAGACAAAAATGAAGTCCATTAATACAAGTGTTTTGTTGTGTTTTGTCTCAGGTAAACATTGAGTGAATGCGACTGATAACACACCATGAAGAGATAGGAACAACTACATTCTCCCTTAAATACAACACCTTAATACTCACAAAGTGAAAAATGAACTGACGTAAAAGTGAAAAACAGAAATTCACTGAATACTTTAGCAGTTCATCTTTTATTGTTTATAATTGTAACCATATTACTCGTGAATCCAAATGATCTAATAGGAATTGTATAGCTTTTATTTTAGCTGCATTCCTGGTAGGTTAGCTTGGTTTGAGTTTGATCTGTGTATCTACTGTCACCCGCAAAGCCCTTTTCATTTGTAAATATGCATCCAAAAAAACCCAAAGCAGACAGAAGCTGAAGGATCGGGGTTCGGGGGGGGGGGTCAGGGTTTGTTTCTCCAGTCCTTCAGATGCTCTCATCGTCGCTCATATCCCAAATCTAAGGAGGAAAGACACAACAGAGAAAGAAACAAATTAATGGAAGTTTTGTCTACAAAACAATGTTCGACTAAACAGTCCTAACTCAAGGTTCTTTCTGGGGCTTTTAGCTGCATCTTACAGTCTTCAGTGCAGTTTGCTCAGTGAGTAAAGGTCCCATATTATAGTATTTTTCTACAATATATTATAGGTCTCAGATATACAAAAAACATGTCTCTGAAATGTTTGGCTTAAAATACCAAACAGATCATGCATTGTAGCATCCCATAAACCCCTCTGTTTCAAAAGTGCTGATTCTGTATCTGTAGCTTTAAATTCAAATGAACTTCCACCCCCCCCCCCCCCCCCCCCCCCCCCCCCCCCCCCTACGCCCCTCTCAAGATGTTTGGTTTAATAAAACACAATGGTGCTCTAGGAGGAGATTCAGGTGATAAGGTGGGGGGGTGTTACCTTGGTTGGTGATTGGCTAATGGTTACACAACCCAACAAAAACATTGTGACGTCACAAAATGTCCAAAATCTGCTGATTTTCAGACCAGTTTTTATATAAATGGATCAGGAGAGAAAGAGAGAATATTTTTTCCTGAAACGTTCCAAATCTCTTTACACAGAGGGGACACATGTTTATGTATAAAAGACGTGAAAAAGTGGATTTTGCATAATAGGTGACCTTCAGATGTCTGATGTCTGTACAGTATGAATGTAACAGTCATCATGTATCATTAGCATGGCAATAACAGCTGTTTCAAGTTGTTTTGACTTCATTTCTATGCATAAATAAAAACTGAGTAACCAGAAATATTAAGTACAAATCTCCGACATCGTAATACGATACAATGCAGAGCAACACAGGCTCAGAATGGAGTGAGCCACTGCTTTATGTCAAAGTGGCTGCACTGATGTAATACACGATTACTAATAGACACCATGTTTGATTTGATTTTAAAAACAGGAGGCGACAGATAACCACACAGACCCGTCTAAACAAGTGGCTTGTAAGTCGCAACAGTAAAGCTTTGATAATAATTACTCACAATCAGTGCTAAGAAGTTTCTTACCAGGAAGTGACAGCAGCATGTGACTCTCTCTCACCCCCACAGAGACACACACACACACACAACTCCTTTTCACTACTGTGTCAGTAAACAACAGCGGCCTTCTCATGGCAGCAGATTCCTCACATTCTCTCTCTGTAAGACGTAATTCACATACCTCTAACACTGCCTGGAATGTTACACACTCATGGCTCTGAGTGTGTATATACACGCGCACACACACACACACACACACACACACACACACACACACACACACACACACACACACACCACACACACACACACACACACACACACACACACACACACACACACACACACCACACACACACACACACACACACACACACACACACACACACACACACACACACCACACACACACACAACACACACACACACACACACACACACACACCAACACACACACACACACAACACACACACACACCATCACACACATCACACACACACACACACACAACACACACACACACACACACACACACACAGTTTGACACATACATGCTGCATTCCTTTGATTGTGCTGCTTCGCAACTCAAAGAGTTGAAATACCAGTGTCATTAATTTCAACTTGTTTTGTTTGTGTGCGTTCCACAGGTAATACGCATGCAGAGACAGGTGTATTGTTAGGAGCCCGTACTTAAAAAGACAAAGTATTGCGTTTCTCTTTGACAGGCCTTTACAAAGAACATATGAGAGAATAATTCACAAACCATGTAGACAAACAACTCAAAAGGGGCTGCAACTGACAATAATTGTCGCCTTTTAATAAGAAGGTTATTTGCCTCATTAATTAGAAATACAAATCTCAACTTTCCAGAGCCAACTTTCCTGGTTATTGAGCAGCATGTGAGGTAAACATGCAAACGTTTAAATATGTCTACAGGTGAGCATGATGTGTATATATATCGCGTCATGTAAGGAGAAGCAAGTTCCCAATAAAAACCAAATAATACATATTGACATAGTTTGAGATGGACCCATTCTCTCAGGGAAAGCCTCTAAAATAGGTAGAAAATTACAAAAATGTGTTCCTGAATACTTCAAAAAACATCCGAGAACAACAGAACTGTAAAATAAAACATTGCCCGGATTTCCCAGACTGATTGTTCTTACACTTTGTGTTTCTGCTCTGTTTCTCTGCCTCTGCACACATGGAGAGCTCTCAGTTATTGAAACAGTGGAAACGCATGTGGCAGATTCATGCAGAGCAATCAATGTAAGACTTCAATTCAGTATAAACAGTACAAACCTCACTGAATGTGTGCCTCATCAACACAGAGATGAACACATTATCCATTCTGAAAACAGATTGAGCTTTGGGATGATGCATTACAGCAAAACATCTTTCATGGACAAGGCTACACAACCTGCTCTTTGAATTGAAAAGAAAATGGGTCAGTAATCTGAAACAGTTTCTTTTATATAAGACTTCAGTACAGTCTATGTGAAACTTGAAATATGGTCACTTTCACAATGTGTGGTTTTAGAAATAGTTAAGGGTAATACATTTTCTTTCTTTCCAAGAGCCGCCATTACTGTATTTGATTTGATTGAAATTTGTGAAGTTCATCAAGTCTTTCAACTGGGCTTTTGGTACCATGTTGGGTTTGTCATTGTTTTTGTCAGAAGCTTATAAGTATGAATATCTGCTTTCCCCAGGGAGGTTGCAACAACAAGGCTTCCTGTTCCAAATTATTTGAGCTATAACCTCAGCGTGAGAAAAATCTCTTCAAAAAGTTGTCGCACCTGTTCTGCATGTTAACCTGAACAGTCTACAGTTTAACAGGCTGTGTTGTTGTTATCTTTATTGTAACTTCTGCAGGCCTTTTCTCACAGTGTGGAGACTGAGGCACAAACTCATATCAGAGCTGGCCGTTTCTGCTCCACTGCTGCCGGGGATCCAGCTTCAAAAGGACAGCAAAGAGCTCTTTGAAACAGAGCGACACTGGAGCCCCTCTCTGGACGGCTGCCATGCCGCGCTGATGGTGTGTGTGTGTGTGTGTGTGTGTGTGTGTGTGTGTGTGTGTGTGTGTGTGTGTGTGTGTGTGTGTGTGTGTGTGTGTGTGTGTGTGTGTGTGTGTGTGTGTGTGTGTGTGTGTGTTTTGAGAAATCTTTTGTGCAAAATGAAAGAGGGGGCAAGGGGGGGGGGGGGGGGGTATAAAGGGGGGAAAGACCTTATGTAACGTGAATAGCTCGGGCAAACTGAAGCCAACAAACTTTACTACACTCTTTCAAGCACGACTGAGTACTTGGGATGTTTTCAACCATTAACCTTTCATGCTGTGATGCATACGCTGATTTCTGCAAGGCCGTGCAAACAATATGTTTAAAGTCATGAGACAACAAGCAAATATTGTGTCATAAAAATAAAGTATGCAACAAAAGATGTCAAAAAAATCAAAGTACGGCATATCATTTAATCTCAGTAGAAACAAGTAATCTCAATGTCGTCATGTCATAAAAAAGTCATAAACGGTCATGGTTTGGTACAGTATAGGGTCATAGTCAGGGGCGGACTGGGACTACAAATCAGCCCGGGACTCTCGACCGGCCCACTTCGGTACCGCCGGCCCACCTCGGTATATTATCAACGGGGATAATATCGGCCCATCGGGATTCGTCCCGATGGCCAGTCCGCCCCTGGTCATAGTAGTGCAAGTAATCTAATCTAACTACAAGACAAGCAGTCTGTCTGTCTGTCTGTCTGTCTGTCTGTCTGTCTGTCTGTCTGTCTGTCTGTCTGTTTGTGAGAACGACTTTCACATATATCGCCAACTGTTCATGGCTTCTAAAAAAGGTTATCTGAAATGGCCTCTCAGCCAACAAAAATAAAAGTAACATATAATCAGCTCTACCTCTGTCTGAAATCAAAGACATAATATAACAAAAATTAAACATTCAAATGGTAAATCTTCCGTTATTGTTGTAAACGGCACAGGAACCATGGGGGTGGGGGGTGCAGAGGAAAACAACAAACAAAACATTGACAGATTACAAACCACCAAACTGATTGTTAGTTGCAACCATAGCTTGAATTAAGCAGTATCTGTCCTTACTGGTGGACCCCCACGCCACACACACACACATAATCAGACACACACACACCATGACAGCACCTCAAAGGGATTGGCAGCCACACAATCGAGGACACACATCTTTAACTTTGAAGCAGCCTTATCACTCCGGGACCTTGAGTCACTGCAGGTTAAAAAGAGGATTGCTGGATGTTTCATAAAGTCCTGCAGTAAGCTGCATGTAATCATTGTGTGAATGTGTTTGTGTTTGTAATCAGTTGGGCTCCGGCTGATATGACAACTATAATCCGGGCTAGTGGTTGAAACAAGGCTGGGATCTGATCAGATAGAGGAGGTTTTAGCTGGAAGCCGAGGCGGGTGCAGTCAGCCAACTCTCTGCTGCCTCTGATAGTTGTTCCCCCAAAAACACAACACACGCCTCAGCATGAGGGTCCTCAGTAATATTTATCATTCTGCAAGCTCGAGTCAAAGCACTGCTTCCGACAGCAGAACCACAATAAACTAGCTCCGGCATCAGAGTTTAACAAGAAGCAACTTTTCAGGCAGTTTGCAAGCACATTGTTTTTTTTGAGGCGAGTAAATTCTAAATACTGAGCCTACTTACAGGAACACATCCTAAGTGTGGGTGGCCCCAGTGGGGATCTTCCCCCTGCAGCCATTCAACCAGGCAGCACCACCACTGATGGGCTTTGATATTAAACACACATCTGCTTCACATATTAGAACTGACACCAAAGCACAAAGGGCAAAGTCAAGCTTTCATCATGGAGACCGGCTCCATCTGATGTGCAATTAGTGGACCACACAGAGGGACGTGGTTTATGGCTGCTGGATAAACCCACCGCTGCTGTTTGAAGAAAAAAGGAAGAAATCCAGTCATA